ACAACCAAGCCTGTTACTAGCACAACGACTACTTCTAAGGCGACCACGACTACTTCAAAAGCGACCACGACCACAAAGTCGACAACCAAGCCTGCCACCAGCACGACGACGTTAACGGTGACCACCACTCCCAGTACTAGTAAGACTACAACGACGGCTGTCACATCAACTACAACCAAGTCCAGTGCTTCAACCACAGCAACGAGCAGTAGCACAAGCGTGAGCACAAGCGTAAGCACGACCAGGTCCACGACGTCGTCAACAACGAGCAAGCCAACCTCATCAACGACATCGTCGAGCGCAAGTGTGACCAGCACCACGACTTCAAAGGTGATAACCAGCACCACAACGAAACAGACCAAGACCACGAGTGTGCCAGTGACAAGCACAACCAAGAGCATCAGCACCACCAAATTTTCCACAAAGACTCGACCAACCAAGCCCCCAGTGACGCCAACCTCGAGTACAACGACCTCGAGTACAACGACCAAGCCTTTTGGTTGGATCGACTGGGCGAGGCCGACTCCTCCGCCTGAGGAATGGCAGGAGTGGCAACAGGGCGGCGGCAACAACAATAACGGGAACAATGACGATCACGGCATACCCTGGTGGCACAAGGACAGTGACAACAAGGGCGTGCCAGGATGGAAGCATGAGGACCAGAACAATGACAACGGGCAGCCTGACTTTTGGTGGGCGTGGAAAGGAGGATGGAAGGATTGGAAGCAAGGTTCCAACGAGGTCAAGGAAAAACCCAAAGGATGGAGATGGGGATGGGGACAGGGCCAGAAGGGGAACAAGAAACCCGGTATGTGGGTTGATTGGTTCAACAGAAACAAGAACAAGAACCCTGGCGAAGACAAGGTGGAGCAAAAGGGGAAGAGAGAGTTTGTGCCCCGTGGTGCTGGTGCTGCACGCAACGTGAGATGGTGATGATGGAGGCAAGGAGCAAAGACGGAAATAAAAGGAGAAGAAAAGAAAAACAAAACACAAAAAGGGCGAGACTGTTCGCAGGAATTGTTGGCCGTTTCCTCATAATCTTTCGTGGAGAGAGGCTATCGTAAGGCATCAGGGAACAAGCATTTATATCTTCGAGGAGGGCCGAGATTTAATTGTCGAGGTTTCTATTTTTATCTATTCAGACATTCCTTCACCAACTCAGGTACCACCTACTTTCTGAAATACAATTTGGATATAACCACGCCCCTGGCATTTTGGGAGGGCTAGCATCTAGCTACTCTTAAAAAACAATGATTACGGGTTCAAGTCCTCGAGATCCGCATCCACCTCTGGCTTCTTAACAAGTGATAAACTGTTATAGTAGGACCAAAGTCATGGCTCACAATAGAGAACAGCCTGTTCAAGAGTGGCTACAACTTGCTCAAGGCTGCATGAGCCTGGCGGGTGACTGCTACGACTTGGTGGACACCGGTTTCTCTCTCATTTGATCTCATCTATTATAATGATCAAATCTATCTGAGTGGATCACGGAAAAAGGGTGTAGTGTCTCAGAATTCCAATTCTGCTATTGCTAGACTGAATGCTGAATGCATGGACACAGGGCGACGAGCATGGCTGCGTGGAAGCTAGATGATTTTGCTGTTACGTCAGGGATAATGATGTGTAAAACACTATTTCCATTTTGACACTATATTGGAAGAGTAGTGAATTTGCGAGCAGAACCTCCAGAACCTCCAGAACCTCCAGAACCTCCAGAACCTCCAGAACCTCCAGAACCTCCAGAA